CGTTGACAGTGAACGCTTCCTTGGCGAGCTTCTTCCCAGTTTTATCTACATTTGAGGCAAACATCTTGTCTTTATTGAAGTTGGTGATTGGCTCTTTTTTTCCATGGTGAGCAATGCTCAGCTCCATGTCATGGGCACGGGTGGCTAACTCTTCGAAGGTCCATGGTTTGATGCCTTGAAGGATATAGTGTAACCCCCATTGCATGCCTTGGACGCACATCTTAATTGAAGAGATCTCCGAGAGCCTGTCCTTGCAGTCGAGGCTTAGATTGTGCCATCGGTTCATGTAGTCCACAACTGGCTCATCCCTTCATTGCTTCGTGCTCGTCACCTCTAGCATGCTCACAGTGCAGCGGGTGCTATAGAAGCGGTTAAGGAATTCCATTTCCAATTGCTCCCAACTGTTGATGAACTCAGGCTCTAGGTCCATGTACCACTCAAAGGCATTTCCTTTCAGGGAGCGCACAAACTGCTTGGCGAGGTAGTCTCATTCCATCCCCGCATTGTTGCAAGTCTCAATGAAATGGGCAACATGTTGCTTTAGGTTTCTCTTTCCATCGAATTGCACGAACTTTGGCAGTTGATAACCCCTCGGCATCTTCAAAACGTCAATCTTTTTGGAGTAGGGCTTTGAGTTTAGTACAGAGTCATGCGAGCTTTTTTCGTACTGCGCCTTGATGGTGCTGGTGATCATCTCCTGTAGCTGCTGGATAGAGAGAGATCCCATGAATGCCATTGCCTAGTATGGCTCCGGCTTCTCTTCGATTTTCTCCGCCAAAGGCTCATCTTCTTCGCCAGCTCCTTTCTTTGGTTGATTACCCTTTAGGTTGGGTTTCTCGTCGTGCTGCGCCTCTAATTGGTTAATGAGTGGAGTGATTTGTGAGTCTTTTTCTTCCACAGTCCGTGTTAGCCTTGCGATCACTTCATTCATATGAGCCAGCTGCTCATCGATAGAAGTCACTCTAGTGGTCATAACTTACATGGCTGAGCTGTCGTTTGAGCTGGCATCGGAAAGCATGGAACCAGAGTACTTCCTTGGGCTTTCCTCCATTGGCGCCTTTAGTGAGGCCAGGGTGATCACAGGTTCGTGCCTCAGGTGCTTTTGTTCCTTCGGCAGAATTGATGCAGCGGTGGAAGAGGAGGCAGAAAGAGCTCTTGCCTTGCTTCGTGTTATGATGCCCGAAGTGACACCGCCTGTGGCGAGGATGCTCTTGTTCTTCGCGTTGGTTGCGGAACAGCTTGAGCCTTCCTTGATGCCATGTGTGTTTCTTGTGGATTTGAAGATAGAGATGAGAGGCAGAGATGGTCCCACTAGGTGTGCCAAATTTGTAAACACAAAAATTCCTGCAATGAAAGCGACAAGAACACGTGTACAAAATGATTTTTTGTATTAATGATTTTGGGGTTACAATCTCTCTCTAAATTAATCCTTTGATTCAATCTCCGTAAGGTGTTGATTTGTGGATATGCGATTGATCCAAGGACCGTCGAGGCTTGATCTTGGATGAACGGTTGAAAGTTTTCTTCAAGGGCCGTTGGGGCTTAATCTTGAAGGTTGAGGGAAATTTCTTCAAGGGCCTTTGGGCTCGATCTTGAAAGTTGATGGATGAACGGATCTTCAAGGCTTTTGGGCTTGATCTTGAAGAACTGTTGATGAACAGATCTTCAAGGGCCTTTGGGGCTTGATCTTGATGAACAGTTGATGAATGGATCTTCGAGGCTTTTGGGCTTTATCTTCAAGAACGGTTGGATATGTGGATTTGTTGGTGTTGTTGATCCAAAGAGCCGTTGGGGTTTGATCTTAGGATGAACGGATGATGAACGATGAAAACTTTCTTCAAGGGCCGTCGGGGCTTGATCTTGAATTGGTGGAAGTTCTTCAAGGGTCGTCGAGGCTCGGTCTTGAATAGGGATTTGACGAAGAACGAAGAAGGCTTTCTTGATCATTCTGGATTTCTTGGGAATTTAGGAGGTTGGATGCTTGAAAGCTTTAAAACTTCAAAGCTTCAAGGATTTAGGGAATTCTCTTCCAATTTGGGCGTAGAGAAAATGTATATGTCCATTGGGTCATCTAAAATGAATGAAATGGCTTCTATTTATAGAATTTTCCAATGCCTAATTTTGAATATAATATTCAGATGAAATAAAACGTTTCTGCCAGGTGTTGACACATGTCATGCTTGATGACTTTTCCGATTTATTTTGATTTTTCGTTTAGTCACACACTACATGTAAAATTTATGTGGCACGTGAGCGTTGAAATTGTAACTATTGGTCAACATTTATTTCACCGAAATTTTGATGTCTACAACTATGTTATTATGAAATGCTAAGTAATTCTACGGGACTTGCAGGTGAGTTCAGGTGAGTTTATTGTGTTGTTTGGAATGTTTGAGCTATGGCATGCTCATTTTCATACAGTGGCTCATCATTGCTACACCCAATGTTAATGCTCCCGCCCCGGGCCAAGGTCAGTCTTTTATGTGATGTTCACCTTGCATTGCAAGCTTGCCTTGGATCCAAGTAGGTGCTAGCCCTGTTGTACAAGTCGCATTAGGTGACTCCGACTTGTAGGTGACGCGCATAGCGCTAGCCTTCACATGATCGTAGCACTAGAGCATATATTATTACACCTAGCCCTGTCGTACAGGTCACATTAGGTGACTCCGACTCATGTGTTAGCATATATGGATGAGCAATAAGTGCAGTCGTACAGGTCACATTAGGTGACTTCGACTTGCGTGCTAGTATAGCTTGTTGAGCACATGATTATATTTATATTGCTGTTGAGTTATTGTGATGTGGCATACTTCTAGATTTACTGTTGGCATGCATTTGATTTCATACTTATACATAGTATGATTTTCTGGAAACTATATGTGTTTTACAACAAGGGGTTATTATGTTTGTAAAATAAATGAATTTTATAAACCTCGCCCTTCTATTTTTCGCCGCTCTAGGTCCTAGATAGCTGACCTACTCTGTGGCACTCAAGGATTACCCGACATATCTCCATTTTAATGTAGGAACTTGTCTCTAGTTGTGTAATAAGTACTTCTCTCGTTCGACTGCTTTACCTTTATGTTATCTATGCTCTAAATATTTGTAGTTTTTGGGTTGTAACCACTACTGCGCACTCACCTTATTAGTTAATTAAGTTCTAGTGTCGGTTTTAATTTATTCATATTTTTCTTACATCATTTGCACCTTTGGTTATGTCACATTCACGTGACGGCCATCATGCCTTGATTCCGGTCGGGGTGTCATGAAACACCCGTGAGATCGTAATAAATTTGTGACAACACCACCTTGACGTATTTGTCTTACGCAAGCCTCTCAAACTTGTTGGCTACATTAATATATTTACACTAAAATTTGAGAAAACAAATTAATTTCAAACTCACCATTAACGATATTCGAGCATAATACCTCTAATAATTAAAAAATCGAGTTTAATTATGTTGTGCGAAAATCTCCTTAGCATAATTTTTTACACTTTTGAGGCTGTTAGGTTTATACGAAAGTAACAGAAAAATACAGATAAACCCACCGGCCACCGTTCCTTTACACCCACCCAACCCCGTGACCACCTAGTCACCGGCAAATCTTCTCCCTCCTCGCCGCCGACAAAAGCTCATCTTTTGAACCTTATGCCTCTTCCTCTCACCTTTCTTCTCTACCCAACCAAAGCAAGCCAACATAAACTGTAGGTGCAGATAAGTTTTTATTTAAATATACATACAAATATATATATATATAGCTGTTATTAGCACTCCAAAAGTTTTATTTATGAGGCGTGTAGAATGAGATTTTTGAAGTGCTAATAACAACTTCATATATATATATAGCTATTAACACTCCACATATCTCATTTTGAACTCCAAACTTTCTATAATTAGAAAGAAAATACGCTTGTGAGAAGTGTAGAATGAGATTTTTTAAGCACTAATAACAATATATATATGTTTATATATATATATATATATATATATATATATATATATGTATGTATGTATGTATGCATGCTTGTATGACACTAAAGAATTAGAGTGGGAGAGAGAGATGCGGCACACAGAGAAAGAGAGATTTGATGTAATGTTATCTAGGAAGCTAAATTCCTTATATTTTAGATATTACAACTTAATCAAGAAACTCTCTGTTAGGATTGCAACAATCTTGAGTTTTTATCATATATGGCCAAATTTTAGCCCCTAATTTTATAAATGTCAGCTTATAAAAAAAATTCACACATAGCCAAAACCATTCTTGATCCCTCAAAATAAAAAAAAATAAAAAAAATAAAAAAGTATAATCTTAAACCCTTTCTGGTCCATACCTTTCTTATATGCATGTCCTTGGCTTTTTCTCTTAATGAATGAGCGCAAGAATGCAAAATTTCATAGGCTTAACAATGAATATAAATTCGCTACGAAGAAAATTGTTGCTCGAATATATCAACCCACAGCTAATGAATTAACTGCATCTTTCGATTGAATGCGGGACGTGCTAACTCATGGTCCGAACATTTTTATGAGACGAGAATTTATCAACAAATTTATATCTACTAAAATTCAGCAAAAAATACTGTTCATCATGCGAGAGAGTGTACTGTTCATTAACAGTGAAAGGACGGGTATGCGCTTAGTTTCTACTTTGGTCCTTGTACTGTTTATACTTTGCTACAGTAAGAAGTTCGTTTTGTCCTTCCCAGCCTCACGTCTCTCATCAGCTTTGGATTCGGTTCGCATTGCCTGCTTTGTACAATGAAAGGCATTAAGTAATGGGACCTGGCTTCTCAACACTCTCAGTTTCCATACACTCTCATCCTCTCTTATTTGTACGGTTATAATTAAGTCACGTCAATATTTTATATCATTATTACTTTTTATCTTATTATTTTTATAAAAAAATTAATATAAAATATTTATGTGACTTAACCGTCCACTGCAAATAAAAGGAGATGGTAATGTATGGTCATGGAAACTGGGAGGCAGAGAAGCCGGGTCTCCCCCCCCCCCGCCCTCTCTCTCTCTCTCATCTCTCATCCCTCACATCTCTCTCTCTCTTTCTCCTCATTTTCATTGTTTTTTCTTGTCTGTTTATGGCTGCGATCCGTTGGGTTTCGAGCCTCTCTTTTGAGGGTTGGCGGGAAGATTAGAAAAAATTTCATTATTTTTTTTGGATTTGGATTTCTCTGTCCCTCTCTCTCTTTCTTGCTAAAAACGACGAAACGATTTTGGGGATTTTGTTTGTAGCTCCGGATTCCTCATCATCTGGGCCCTTCTAGAGACTTTTTTTCTTTCTTTCAGCTGAAGCAGTCTTGAATATTGTGCTTACTGCGAAATTTAGCTGATTAGTACAGGATTAACATAAACGTTTATTTTCTGTCCTAAATGTATTCATGAGGTCCCCAAGCAAGATGCGGCTGCTGCAGCTGTTGCTTATGCTACTGTTGGACTGCCTCCACATCAAAGGTTTAGTCTCTCATCCAGCTCTGAAGAATTATAGTTTTTGTTTTGGATTTTTGTTAATTTGGACAAAACCCTAACGGTTTGGTTTTCTGGTGAGTTGTGGTGTTTTTTTAGGGATTTCCAGGCTAAAACGGTATTCTGCGTTTTGCTTTCTCAGTTGATGAATATGAGATTTGACAGCAGCTGGAACGGTGCTGCTACTTTTGGGTATGTTTTCTGTCCTCATGTTTTTTCCCAATTTGAACATTCATTTATGATTGTTGGATTAAAATGCATGTGTAATCTTTGGGAAGAGATGAGAAAAATAACTGGAATTTTGGGAAGCTTTGCGTGGTTTGCTTTAATCCCACAGAGGGAACACGAACAGGGAGAGGAAGAGAGAAAAACATTAATTTTAAATGTGATTTTCAATTTTTTTTTATAGAATTGAAATTGAAAGTACCCAATTGTATAATTTGATCATGTGGAAGATATAATTAGCATGTTTTGTGTAATATGTGTTATTTTCTCGGATTTGTGGTTAAATTTGATAGTTTGATGTGGAAACATTTATTTGTGTTCTACTTTTTTTGTGATGATTTGAAAGCCTTTTCAAATATTATATGGATGATATATAGTTGACTTATTAAATAATATAAGGTTGTGTCATGGTTTAATGTATCTACATTTCTTAACTGTTAGGATTATTTGTTTCCTTTCTGAAATTTGCACCTCTTGCTTTTCAGTTAAGCAGACTGATTACTGTTTGCAATTTTGTGGTGTGTCACTGATGGATATTACTGAATTATTTTGATTAATTCAAAGTGGAAGGTAACTTGGAAGATTTGATCACTTAAACCTGTTAAATTATAGGGAGAAGTGCACCTATGGTTATTAGATTATTGCTTATGATCTTTTCATGCATGCAAACTTACTGAAGTTACTTGGGAAGACGAATATAGGCGCCTATTAGACTAGATTGTTTTTGAATGGTTGATATGGGTCTATGTTTGTTAAATTTTGTGAGGAAGTCTTTCTTGCTCAAATTGTCCATTTTTAGGGCAGTACGATAATGAAGTATCTCTAACAACTCTACAGATTAGTTGAAGCTGTTAATTATAGAGATGGTGTAGTGTGTATGGATAAATCCAGTAGTTGTTTTCATAATCAGAAAGTAATCTCTCAACTTCTTTGTGATTATAGTTGCTTTGATACTGTCATAGGGACTTTTATCATACTTTCAAATTCATTTTGATATATCCATTCGTAGGTTTAAAATTTTTGTCAAACCCAAAAGTTACCTTGCTGGGTATAGTTAAAAAGTAGTTTAATTAATCAATATTACTATGGTAGTTTTAAAGTATATGTTAATTGGAATGAATCCTTTTGGTTTTATTTTTAAAACTACATATCTGTGGTAAGGAGAGATACATATTGAAGTTTTGAATTTCCAGTAAATCTGATCATCAGGTGCTTAAAGATTTGAATTTTAAACTAGTTCCGCAAAACCTGTAAAGTGGTTCCACAAAAATCTGCAAAGTGGACGTTATGTTGCTTGCAGCAGTAGATTGTTCTTTTCTATTTAAGTTGTAAGCTTTGTTTTCAGTTGATAACAAGAGAAAAAACTTGCAGTGTTCAAGCACCGTGAAATAGATTTGTTCAAGCATCCTTTTACGTTTAAGTTAATTCCAGTTTCCAACAAGTTGATCCTGTGGCCGTTTATAAATTTTAAAATTTGTATTTCGTTTGTATAGATTAAATGGAAGACGAAGGTCCAACTCGGTTTGATCAATTGGTGGCATATAAAAATGTTGTCATAATTAAAGTCTGTGTATCTAAAACAAACAAGTATTGGTTCACATTTTTTCTGTGTAAATAGTTGATAAGGTGTTTGATAATGTCTTTTCTGTAAATTATATAAACTTAGATAGCTTTGTAAAATTATTTATTCCATTTTCTGTTTAGTATTTATAACACTCTGCATATTTACATGTTAAAAACGTAGTCTATAGTTATATTTTCGCTCCTGCAACAACGTGCGGCTAAAATTTACTAGTATCATCTAATTCCCCTCTCACAGGCCCACATTCTAAAGATGTAAAATAGTCTATTGAAGGGTTTTCGGTCAACAATATAAATGTAAAATGCTCATTTCAAGGCATTTTGTATGTGCATCCATTGAATTAAGGTTGGTGTTAGCTAAATTAAGAACATATACAAGGGCATTGGTGTTCTTAGATCCAACAAAATTTCTTTTTCAAAACAAGTTATCCAACAGTAGGTACCTTATTTCTTCAAGAATCCCCTTCAGCTTTTGCCCTAGAAGAACATAAAACCCCAACCCCATCTATTTCTCTACCAAAGTCCCCGCCCATCGCTCTACCATCAATCGGAATAAGAGGGTACATAGACCTAAAAGCAAAACGAAACCTGAAGGATTAACGTCAACAAGAAGCCGGCTTGTGAGAAGGGAAGAAAAATGAAATACTCGGAAGTTGTAAACGTATCAAAATGAGACAACGCTGCTTTGGCCCCTCTGGCTTGTTGGATACAACTTCAAATAGATCGAATGAGCTGCTGCTAATACGCTACATATTATCCACGGGGAAGTCATTACCTCTGGTTCAAGGAACACCACCCCTACAGCTTGTTGGTGCATCCTGTTTAAGTCATTACCGCTGCTGAAGTCTCTAACATAGGAGAGTATAGCTTATACTAAATAGCCTGACATTGCACTGCAAATCTTCAATTGTGTTCAATATATGAATTCGGAATGTAAAAGCTACTATAAAATGATTAATTTGTTCAAAAAATAAAAAAACCCCGACATAACATCATCACATGAATCTCTCATGGGAATCCATCATTAGATGCAAAATACAATGAACTAGAGAAAACCTTACATGGTTCAGCTCATGCTGGAAGACCATCATCTGCATTTTAAACAAACTGATCATTAGAAATATCCAAACTAAAACAAAGAAAAATTGCACATGATAATACTAAAATCATCCCTGGAGTCTGTAAATCTAAATAGTTATGCCTCAAACTTAGAGTAAAAAGGGCAAGTCCACCGGGGACTATTAGGCCGGCACCCAGCACCATTTTTGGCCCGGCACCAGTCAATCCCCTCCAGCCCATGTGGATAGGACGGCACCCAACCCAAGCTAGTCTCCAGACCAGCCCAAAATCGACAGGCCCATCTGACATCATGTTGACGCCAGCGTGACGTCAAAGGCCATTTAAAAAAAAAATTTGCGCCAAGCGCCGACAAGAAATCAGAGGCTGGCCCGCTTGCCCACGCGTACTAAACCGAACTGATGGGAGGCCATGTGGCCCGTCTTGGGCCGTTGCATTTCCAACGACTAGTTTTCTGGACCGTTGGATTTCCAACAGTAAAAAAATTTTGAATTTGACATCCAACGGCTAGTTACATGGCTTGATCTGGACCGTCCGATCCAGAGATCATTGGTCCACGTTTTTTCCCCAAAAGTTAAAAAAAAAAAGGCACAACGGTCAGAATTATGACCGTTGACCACGTGTCAATGTATAGGCTGTTGGATTTGATTATTTTTCAAATCTAACTGTCCATATTAATTACCTAAATTAAAATTTATTAAAAATTGTTAAAAAATACAGAAAAAATTTTTAAAAAAATTCTTCCTATAAATACATAATTTATTAAAAATTGTTAAAAACATAAAAAATTAAAAAAAAAAATTTCTTCCTATAAATACATAAGCCTCATCCTCCACCTTGCACCATATTTCAACATTTTCAACACTTTCTACCAAAGCTTTCATATACTTTTTGTGTGAAAAAAATACCAAGAACCTCATCCTTTCTTTTTTTGTCCATATAAACCCTATATCCCTACATCCATTTTCATCATTTTCAAATCTTGAGTTCTTACAATGTCTTCTTCAAGGAGAGTGTATAAACAGTTTGAGGAGCAACATAAAAGATTGTTAGCACAACAGGAAGAATTGGTGAGATGAGGCTTTCGCAATGGAGGAGGATGAGGATGATGACCATAGAAGGCAGAGGGCCTCACATTCCCGCCATGTCATGGAAGATGTGGGTTAGATATCCAAACCCAGACTTGCTGCAAACTTCTATAGAAAGAGGGAAAAACGAGGTACAAATCTCTTGGAAGATTATTTTATCCCAACTGTGTATTCCCTGATCATGTTTTTAGACGTCATTTTAGAATGCAACGAAGTTTGTTCAACAAAATCATGAGTGCTATTTGCAACCATGATCAATACTTTGTGCAAAAAATGATGCTTTTCATGTTCTAGGTCTTCTTCTCGAGCAAAAAGTTAATGTTGCCTTGTGGATGCTTGCATATGGAGCATCTACAGATCAAGTGGATGAGATAAGGAGGATGGGAAAATCAACTGTTCTAAAGTCTCTGATGCGGTTTTGCTCCACAATCAAAGCCCTCTATACGAAGGAGTACCTTTGGAAACTAACTGACACCAAGGGATCTGCGAAGGTTACTGAGGAAGGGTAAGATGCGAGGCTTCCCTGGCATGATTGGAAGCATCGACTGCATGCACTGGACCTGGAAAAATTGTCCAAGTGCGTGGCAATGAGCGTATGGCAACAGAAAATGAGCCAAAAGTATCATTTTGGAAGCGGTGGCTTCATTTGATACATGGATTTAACATGCATTTTTTGGTGTTCTAGGAGCTCAAAATGACCTACATGTCCTTGCTCAATCTCCAGTCTTCGACGAAGTGCTACAAGGAAAAGCACCCAGAGTCACATATTCAGTCAATGGCCATACATACGAAATGTCGTACTACCTTGCAGGCGACATTTACCAAGGTGGACAACGTTTGTCAAAAAAGTCCCACATCCACAAAGTGAAAAAGAAAAACACTGCGCAAAATGTCAAGAGGGGTGTAGGAAGGATGTGGAACGTTGTTTTGGTATCCTGCAAGCTCGTTGGGCGATTGTCAAGTCAGCGGCCAGAATATTTGATGTCGAGGCACTTCGATCCATCATGATGACGTGTATCATTCTCCACAACATGATTGTGGAAGATGAGTATGATTATGATGTCGTTGACGAATACGAGCAAGACACAATGAACAACTAAAAAACACGTATCTCTTGTGCTCATGACGGCACCGAAGATCCCATACAACACGAGCCATTGGAACGGGATGGACGTTGCAATCAATTGATCGTTGAATGATACATTTCATTGCAAGAGCCATACTGGCACTGTACTTGTCAAAGTGACTTGATTGAGCACCAATGGGAATTGCAACAAGGTCAACATAATTAAAAGGAAATTAAAAGGAGCTTGTGGTGGAACAATAAAGTTCTTAGTTTATTTAGTGTGTTTTTTTTTAAGTTTATTTATGAGTTTACGTAATTTTATTTAGTGTGTTTTTTTAAGTTTTTTTTATGAGTTTACGTAATTTTATTATGATAATGACACATAACGTGACGAGATTGGCTAAAAATCTTAACCAAAATTAAAATTATTTATTTATTTATTATTTTATAAAAAACTTAATAATATTTTAAATGGACTAGATGCCAGCGCATTTTGTAGGGTTGAAGACCATTAGTACCAACACATTTTTTGGACTTTGTGCCTGCACATTTTTTAGGGATGAAGATGAATTTGGCCTATTGGGGTCTCACTATTCACTGAGTGGATTAAATGGGCTAAATGCTAGCGCATTTTTTTAGGGGTGAACTTGCTCTAAGAACATAACTCAAATTTTCCTGGACATTTTAATTGAAAAATAGCTGATAAAAAAACCAAGGACCACTTATAAAACAAAACTTCCATTTGTAGTATCCCAACTTCCAAACCCATTTTATCTTATGTCTTCAGCCTCCATACGGTTAACAAACATTACGGCAAAAACAAATAAACTCATACAAAAGAATCAACAGAACACACCTATCACAGCTTTTGAAGTCACCCGTAACAAAGACAAATTCTATGCTCATATGAAAACATTGATTCACAGCTCAATCTAATAGAGAATTTGCTAAATACACAGTACGCACATCTTTCTCACATCTTTCTAGTTTTCATTGCTTCAATACAACACTTTCAGGAATGCCCTGAAAGCCTTTGCTGGATATATGCATCAAACTATTTATTGATTCTTACCTTAAAAACATGTTTGATGTATTCATTGTCAATATATTTTATTCACAATAACATCACGTATCCAAGCATCCTGGCCTTGCCCCAAAAGCAAGAAAAGCTCTACCAAAGAAAAATTAACGTATTTAAAAATCAGGTTCAGTTAGGGAAGGAGAAGGACAAACCATATATGATATATCCCAGGAAGCAAAATTTATGATAAAAAATAGCCAAGCCAAAAATCGATTCACACAAGGTAGCAGAAAAGACGTGAACATTCAGCCATTTCAAACTGTACTTTTATGTGTAATGATCCCGTTTCTGATAGTGACTGTTAACATGATTCACAGTTAAACGAACTTAATTTTGGAAGAAAAGAAGAGAAACATATCTAGATAACTTGGAGATGACTTCCATAAGTGAATTTCCATTCAAACTAACAGACCAGAAGGAATCATCTTGACTCTCGAATACATCTGTCAGTATTGAGCAAATTTAGCAATGCCAAATGATGCTGCACCCCATGTTTTTAGTATTAAGGCCTAAATGTTAAGGCCTAGTTCTTATCAATACTTGACATACATTCAAATATAAGCCCTATATCTTCAAAACTAGCAAACGGATACTAGACAGTTGTACCACACAAGTTAACAAATGGGCACGAGTTTAGCCCATAAATATGTTGGTTTTTGGCTCATCAAATATGTCCTAGTTGGTTTAGGATTGTTTTAGGAAACCTAGAGGTATACCGATTCTTGTCCTAGAGGGATTAGGAAAGAATTTCAGTTTCCTTATTCAATTTAGGTTTGGATTTCTAGAAGTCTATTTGAATTTGGATAGTGTAATTTCCTAG